CCTGCTGGGTATCTTCCCCAAAGAATTAAAAGAATCATACCACAGTGATATATGTGCACCCATGTTCATATCAGCACAATTTGTAATAGCTAAAACTTGTAAGCAACCCAAATGCCCACCAACTGGAGACTGGATAAAGAAAATGTGGGTTTTTTAAATAAAATGGAGTACTACTCAGCCATAAAAATGAGAAATTAGAGACATTTATAGCTAAATGGATGCACTTTGTGGCGATACTCTCAAGTGAAATAAACAGGACACACGTGTAAATACCGAATTGTTTCTCTAGTGTGAGAAACTGAAAGTGTAAATAAGGACTAAAAGGTATAATAGATAATGTAAAATAGGAAGAAGAGGGGTAAAGGGGAAGAGGAAGGGGGAAGGGTAGGGGAAAGGAAAGAAGGCAATGGAATTAATATGAGAAAATGAAAAAACAGGAACAAAGTCTTTGTAAATAGGGAGGGATGGAGGAGTTGAAGGGAGGCCAGGGGAAGGGGGAAAAGTAAGAACCAAGAGAGATTATGTAAAGGTGGAGATTTCCAATGATGAATGTCATTATATTGTATCCCTAAAATGTCCCAATAAAATAATATTTAAAAAAAACCAAAACAGGGATTTAGCTCATTTGTGCCATGCCTGCCTCGCAAGGTCCTGAGTTTGATTCCCGCAGGGGGCGGAGGGGCCGCAACAACCCTGCAAATGAGGGAGTATGAAAACAAGCAAGAATAGCTATCCAGCTATCATATTTTCAGACAAAGAGGGCTTCAAGACAAAATTGATTGAAAGAGGCAAAAAAGGTCAGTGTGTATTGGTTAGGGTCACAATTCTATAAAACGAGATAAAAATTATAAATATATGTGCACCAAACACCAGAAGGATCACCATGAGTTCGAGGCCAGCCTAGGCTACATAGTGAGACCTTGTCTTAAAAAACAAAAACAAAGGGGCTGGGGATTTAGCTCCGTGGTTCCAGCACCTGCCTTGCAAGCGCAAGGTCCCGAGTTTGATCCCTGGTACCAAAAGAAAACCAAAAAACAAAAACAAGGGCTGGGGATTTAGCTCAGTGGTTGGTACTGGGAATCAAACTTAAGACCTTGCACTTGTGAGGCAGGCAGTGGAACCACTGGGCTATGGCCCTCAGCAGTTTTGTTTTTTTTTAATGAAGATAGGTGTTCCAGTATTTGGTGTGTAATGTTTATAAATGTTATCTGTTCTTGTTGGATTGTTCCCTTAACTAGTATGTAGTGACCTTTGTCTCTTCTGATCAGTTTTAGCTTGAAGTTTACCGTGTCTAATATTAGAATTGCTGCCCCTGCTTGTTTTCAGGGTCCTGGTGCATGAAATGTTGTTTTCTGTCCTTTAATTTTTAGTGTATCTTTTTGGACTAGATGAATTGAATGCAACAGATTATTGGATTCTGTGTTTTGATCCAGTCTGCCAATCCATGTCTTTTAACTGGGGAGTTGAGGCCATTGAGAAATATTACTGAGATGTATTGGTTATTTACTGTCATTTTCTTCTTTATCTGTTGGTGACTCTTGTTTTTCTTTTCCTGATATTTTTTGTTGCTGTTTATCCATTAACCCCTCTAGTTTCCTCTGTGTTTTTAGCTGTGTTCATTTCATTATTTCTATCAAGAATATTCTTAAATTTTTTTTGTTTGTTTTTGGTTTTTTGTGGGGCTGGGAGGGTAAAATGCAGCAATGACCCGGAATGGTATTTCAACCTATCTGTGTGTACGAGGACAAGTGTTTATTGTTGTTAAGCAGAAATGTAAATTTTCTTATGTAATTATTAAATTTGGGCTTATTTTATTTTGTAAAATAATTTAATAAGCTAAAATAGTTTTTAGCAGCTGCAGTATAGAAGTACAAAATGTATCATAGTTTTGCTTGTTGTTGTTAAAATTATTTACACAAGATTGCTAATACTAGAAAAATAAATGGTTGCTTATTGATTAGTTTTTAGAATGTATGGAGTTGCAATCAGACATTAACTCAAAGAAAAACTGAATCAAGTCTCTTTACTAGACCTTTATAAGACCTGTCTTTCCAGAAAAAAATATCCTTTGCTCACCTATCCACATTCACACCTTATTCCTGTCATTGATTTTTGGAAGAATGTACATTTGTGAGCAACTCTTTTCATGGATGAACCACACAAAGAGTAAAATTAGATTTAAAAAAACTGAGCTCCTTGAGAACTCACTAGAATTGCAGCTACTCACATTGATCCAGGCATTGATACATTAATTTCACAAAAATCATATAAATATCCCATAGTTTATTTTGACCTCTTTTTAATGTTACAATAAAAATATTTTAAGGGGCCGGGGATTTAGCTCAGTGGTTCTGCTGCCTGCTGTGCAAGCACAAGGACCCGAGTTCGATCCCTGGTACCAAAAAAACAAAACAAACAAACAAAAATTTTTAATGAAGGTTTTTTTCTTATATACATTAATTATATATTTTATGTATGGCCCAAGTCAGTTCCTCTTTCCTCAGCATAACCCACATAAGCTGGAAGGTTGGACACCCATAGTTTCACTCCGTTATCACCTTTTCACTGAAAGACTAATTCTAGGAATCTTCAGACTTAAGTCCGGTAGTTTTCAGACTTACTGCTTAATACCATATAGGCTCAAGATGCTTAGCTTTGGCAGCACCCACTTGTAAGCCTAGCATTCAGGAGGCTGAGATAGAGGGATCATGGTGAGTTTGAGGCCAGCCTCAACTATATAGCAAGACCCTGTCTCAAGATGCTTAGCATTCATAAGTTTCATTTTCATCTGTGAAGTGTGGTAGTCATGAGGATCAAATGAAACAGCACATTAAATTCTTTGTAAACTATAAATCATTGTACAAATATGTGTTATAAGAACTATACACTTGTTATTTTCATGAGTCTCTCTACATTTCAGACAGAACTCAAAAGCTTGATGGACAGCGCTCCCTCCTCCTTTGAATTTGCTAAAGAACTCATCAAGCACAATCTGGTAAATAACGGTTTCCTGTCTTGCCTGACTTCAATCCTACCCTACTTTGGTAAACAGCACCGAGATTGGGAAGATGCAGAGGAGATGTCCCAGCAAATGTTTCCCATTCAAGGGAATGCCTCCTTATTGTGAAAGACAGAAAATGGGTTTAATGGATCATTCCCTTTCCTTAGGAAATTCCTTATTGGGAAGAATAGATATCCCATTTGGGCAGAAGCACAAGATAGTGGATATCCAAGTGTCTGGGTTTTTAGCAAAGACAAAGGAACATATCCTGTGATTTAGAATAAATGGGGGAGAGTTTCTGGCCTTTGAAGGATGGCCAAGATTTAGAGGCTTCATTTTAGTCTAGGGCATAGAGTTAGAATAAGAATAACACATGAAAACTTGCGAGCAGATTGATTTTACTGGAACAGTAGGTTTGCATTGAGAAGGAGGGGAGAGCAGAGTTAGAGCAGGGGTTAGGTATAGAGATAGTAATGATGGTGACTGCTGAATCGAAGCCCAGATGAATTGTGACTGCTGACCGAGCAATGCAGTGAGATGCAGAGAAGCTGCTTTCAAGGCAGGAATCTGGGAATATTGGGCAAATTCTTTAATATTGCTTCTTCATTTCACATGGTGACAATAACTGTACCTTCTTCTTCCAATTTCTTTAGCACCACTCCTCCAAGTACCCAAAGTGAAAACCATGACTGTTAGACTCTCCCCTTCCCTTGCCTCTTCTGTGGTATCTTAGTATCTTTGTGGTCACTAAATTGCAGCAGTTCTTTCTTGGCCTTGTCTTGTGTTTATCCCATTCCTTCTCCACATCAAGCCTCCACCACTGAGGGAGTTTTATTTGCATAGCTTCTCTGATGGGCTCTGGCCTCTAACCTTTTTATTTCTAATCTGGTTTCCAAAGTGAGGCCAGATTGTTTTATGGAGAATGATGTGTTAGGAATTTAAGCTTGGACAGAAGTCAACTTCAGCTTAGGTAGAGGAGTCGTCCTAAGAGTTGCAGCAGTTAAATGTGAAAGATTGAAACTTCTGAATTTCTGACAGATATTGAAGAAAGAATTAAAACAGGGAAAAATATGATTCCAAAAAAGGATTTATATTCAGGTCGCTGGAAGAAGGAAAATAAACAGAAGACACAAGAAAGGGCAGACAAGTAGAGGCACCTAGATAATGTGATGCTATTTATAGCTGCACATTTTAATCACCTTTTGAAACTGACGTTGGGCGCCACCCCCGTGGATTCCTAAATATATATATATATATATTTTTTTTTAATAGGGGGGACCAGCAGGGTCTTCCTGTGTTTCCCAAGTTGTCCTTGAATTCCTGGGCTCAGGTGATCCCCCTTCCTCAGCTTCCTGCCTAGCTGGGACTACAGGTCCACACAACCACACCTGGTCTTCCAGGGATTCTTATTTAATGGTTGAGCTGGGGCCCAGTATTTGTCTTAAAAGCTTCCCAGGTGGATACAATGTACAGCACAAGGTAAAGAAGCACTGTAAGTGTATGTGTATATGACTGGAAGGAACACATCAGATAGTAAATAGGGATTATCCTTGGAGAAGGGGATTAAAAAGAAAAGTGAGAATGTGGACATTTCTCTTTTTGCTTCTGTAATGCTATTATTTAAACTTTTCTCCCAGTGGGGGAAAAAATATGTATATATATGTCAAAACCCTGAAAAATATTGAGACAATAAAAGTAGTTGTTAAGAATATAAAATTTTGAGTCAAGAGTGATGGCACATGCCTGTAATCTCAGCACTCTGGGAGGCTGAGGCAGGAGGATCACAAGTTCAAGCCCTTCCTGACCAATTTAGCACCTTGGCAATATCCTGTCTCAAAAAAAAAAAAAAAATTAAAAAGACTGGAGATATGGCTCACAAGGCCCTAGGTTCAATTCCCAATAGCACACGCGTGCACGCGCACACACACACACAAATCAATTTTTGAAGTCAGAGTTGACAAATTTGAACTATCATGTAACTATCAAGTTAGTATTTGTAACTTCAGGTAAATCACTAATACTGCTGAGTTTCAGCATTCCCATATTGTAGAATAAGGAAAATAAAGTCCCTTTCTTTTTTGTTTTTTTGTTTGTTTTTATAGTCAAGATTGAACCCAGGACTTTCATACTTCAACCCTTTTAAAATTCTTTTTTTTTTAGGCATGGTCTCCGTTACCCAGGCTAGGATCGAACTAGTGATCTTCAGTTTTCCAGAGTGCTGAGATTACAAGTGTGCACAACTCCCAGCCTCTGACGTTTTTGTGAGAATTCAATTTGTATAAGGTGTCTAGCAAATACAGGTTGAGTAACCTTTATCTGAAATGCTTGGGACCAGAGATATTTTCAGGTTTTGAATGTTTGTATTTGCCTAATGAGATATCCTGGGAAAAGACCCAAGTCTAAATATGAAATCCACTTGTGTTTCTACACTTGATCTTAGCCAAAAGGCCGAGAAGCAATTCTACTTGTGTTTCTTATGTACTACATACATATGGCCTGCAAGTAATTTACCTATTTTTAGTGAGCCTGAATTTTGACTGCAACCTGTCACATGAAATCATGTGTGGACTTTTCAGCCCTGAAAACGTTTCAGATTTTGGAGGATTTTGGATTTTCAGATTAGAGATGCATTTAGTAAGTGATGCTGTTGTTGTCATCTTGTAGACAACAGTCTCAGAACTGCAAGAAGATAGAAAAGTCCTTTGAATTTGGTTACAGGGGCTAATCTGTGGTTTGTGACAGTAAATTGATTAGTAAACTGACAGCCACAGGCAGTTTCTTGGGAGGTTGAAGGGTGGGAAGAAATTAGAAGCAGTAAGCCACGTACTTTTGAAGTGTAGCATTGAAAGAAAGGAGAAAAATAGTGCACTATCCAGAGGGAACAGGGGCCAAGTAGAAGATTTTTCAGGAGAACACAAATGCTTGTGTGTAGTCTAAGATGAAAAGTAGGATCAGTGCTTCAGAAGATTAAAGATACAGTAATGAATGAAACAAGGTCTAGATAGAATTAGAAGTCATGGGATCAAGAAGATAGGTGAAGGAATTAACTGGCAAAAGAAGGGGATACTGCAAAGAGGAACTAAAAAATATGATCAAATAGATATTTTGAGGTAGAAAGAAGAAATTGTGTAGTTCATGCCTGATGGCCTTGATTTCTATGTATTTATTTGTGAAACAGCTACTAGGTGCCAGATACCATCCTGGGCTCTAGAAATACAACAGCATGCAAAACTAATTGTCCTAGCCAGTCATGGTGGTGCACACCTGTAATCCCAGAACTCGGGAGGCTGAGGCAGGAGAATCACTTCAAGTTCAAGGCCAGCTTGGGCTACATAGTGAATTCAAGGCCAGCCTGAACTATATAGTGAGACCTTGTGTCAAAAAAACAAAAAAAAGAGAAAAAACAAAACAAAACAAAACCCAATCGTCCTTTCATGGATTTTTAGTTTTCCATTATAGCATGTATTATCACCTGACCACATATCACTTGTGTGGTGGCAGAGAAGCCTAATGCTCAGTAGAGCAGCAGGCATAGAGTAGGTGTTCATGAATGCTCACCAAATTAATGAAGCCAAATATTACCCGGTGTGTGGTACATATTGAGCCCACTGTAACTCATTTCATCCTTGGAAGTAGACATGACGGATGCCACGGAGAAATGAACAGGTAGGCCCAGAAAGGCTGTGTGCATCCTGTCATGGAGGGTTTTTGGTTTGTTTTGTAGTGCTGAGAACGAAATCATCATGGAGCTTTTCTTGTCCATATAGAAAAGAATTTCATTAATTATTGGATACTTTAAGAGTTTTCTGGGCTAGGAATATGGCTAAAAGGTACAGCAGTTGCCTAGCATGTACAGTGGCATATTTGGGGATGTTTAATCTCTGAACAGCTTGCTTAAATTTTTAAATCTGTAATACTTACAAAGATGTTTTTTGGTTTTTGGGGGTTTTTTTT